TTCCAATAAATAAAAAATATTAACGTAATTTTTTGTTTAGTTATCTGTTCCCTTTGATTAATGACTGTGTTATTCATTCTTGTGATTCTCAATTGCTGTGCTAGAAATTCCCCGGTGTTCTCCATCTTATAAATAGTAAAGTCGCTCTAGAATCTCCCGTTCAGTTCCGTAAGACTACAGGTTTAATCCATTAAGAGTCATTTACTTTGAGTTCCCTGATTATTGAGTCCCTTCCTTCCTAGGGTCTTAATAATTTTAGACACATTCATTTATGGTTGGAAGGTGGTGGCAGTGCTTTAATGTTTTTATTTTATAATTAGTAATAAATTAATAACCCCTATCCTTGTTATGTCCTCCTAATTTAATATTCAGTTTATATTCGTGGCTGTCCAGTGAGGGGTCATACTGGACTGTAACAGAGTTAAGCTGGGGTATTGAGCGAAGAGAGAGCCGTTCACAGAGTACAGAGAAGGGTTACAATTGAAAGGTTCAGGGTGATCACAGAAGGGACATTGAGGGTTATTATACGGGGACGGGGGACGAGAAGCGAGAGGGCGGACGGGGACGGGGGACGAGAAGCGAGAGGGCGTACGGGGACGGGGGACGAGAAGCGAGAGGGCGGACGGGGACGGGGGACGAGAAGCGAGAGGGCGTACGGGGACGGGGGACGACGAGCGAGAGGGCGTACGGGGACGGGGGACGACGAGCGAGAGGGCGTACGGGGGACGACGAGCGAGAGGACGGACGGGGACGGGGGACGACGAGCGAGAGGGCGGACGGGGACGGGGGACGACGAGCGAGGGCGGACGGGGACGACGGGCGAGAGGGCGGACGGGGACGAGGAGCGAGAGGGCGGACGGGGACGAGGAGCGAGAGGACGGACGGGGACGGGGGATGAGAGGGCGGACGGGGACGAGGAGCGAGAGGGCGGACGGGGGCGAGGAGCGAGATGGCGGACGGGGACGGGGGACGAGAAGCGAGAGGGCGGACGGGGGACGAGAAGCGAGAGGGCGTACGGGGACGGGGGACGACGAGCGAGAGGGCGTACGGGGGACGACGAGCGAGAGGGCGGACGGGGACGGGGGACGACGAGCGAGAGGGCGGACGGGGACGGGGGACGACGAGCGAGAGGGCGGACGGGGACGGGGGACGACGAGCGAGAGGGCGGACGGGGACGGGGGACGAGGAGCGAGAGGGCGGACGGGGACGGGGGACGACGAGCGAGAGGGCGGACGGGGACGGGGGACGACGAGCGAGGGCGGACGGGGACGACGGGCGAGAGGGCGGACGGGGACGAGGCGCGAGAGGGCGGACGGGGACGAGGAGCGAGAGGACGGACGGGGACGGGGGATGAGAGGGCGGACGGGGACGAGGAGCGAGAGGGCGGACGGGGGCGAGGAGCGAGATGGCGGACGGGGACGGGGGACGAGGAGCGAGAGGGCGGACGGGGGACGAGGAGCGAGAGGGCGGACGGGGGACGAGGAGCGAGAGGGTGGACAGGGGACGAGGAGCGAGAGGGCGGACGGGGAGGGGGACGAGGAGCGAGAGGGCGGACGGGGAGGGGGACGAGGAGCGAGAGGGCGGACGGGGAGGGGGACGAGGAGCGAGAGGGCGGACGGGGAGGGGGTCGAGGAGCGAGAGGGCGGACGGGGAGGGGGTCGAGGAGCGAGAGGGCGGACGGGGACGGGGGACGAGGAGCGAGAGGGCGGACGGGGGACGAGGAGCGAGAGGGCGGACGGGGACGGGGGACGAGGAGCGAGAGGGCGGACGGGGACGGGGGACGAGGAGCGAGAGGGCGGACGGGGACGGGGAACGAGGAGCGAGAGGGCGGACGGGGACGGGGGACGAGGAGCGAGAGGGCGGACGGGACGGGGGACGAGGAGCGAGAGGGCGGACGGGGACGAGGAGCGAGAGGGCGGACGGGGGACGAGGAGCGAGAGGGCGGACGAGGAGCGAGAGGGCGGACGGGGACGGGGGACGAGGAGCGAGAGGGCGGACGGGGACGGGGGACGAGGAGCGAGAGGGCGGACGGGGACGGGGGACGAGGAGCGAGAGGGCGGACGGGGACGGGGGACGAGGAGCGAGAGGGCGGACGGGAGACGAGGAGCGAGAGGGCGGACGGGGGACGAGGAGCGAGAGGGCGGACGGGGGACGAGGAGCGAGAGGGTGGACGGGGGACGAGGAGCGAGAGGGCGGACGGGGAGGGGGACGAGGAGCGAGAGGGCGGACGGGGAGGGGGACGAGGAGCGAGAGGGCGGACGGGGAGGGGGACGAGGAGCGAGAGGGCGGACGGGGAGGGGGTCGAGGAGCGAGAGGGCGGACGGGGAGGGGGTCGAGGAGCGAGAGGGCGGACGGGGACGGGGGACGAGGAGCGAGAGGGCGGACGGGGGACGAGGAGCGAGAGGGCGGACGGGGACGGGGGACGAGGAGCGAGAGGGCGGACGGGGACGGGGGACGAGGAGCGAGAGGGCGGACGGGGACGGGGGACGAGGAGCGAGAGGGCGGACGGGGACGGGGGACGAGGAGCGAGAGGGCGGACGGGGACGGGGGACGACGAGCGAGAGGGCGGACGGGGACGGGGGACGACGAGCGAGGGCGGACGGGGACGACGGGCGAGAGGGCGGACGGGGACGAGGAGCGAGAGGGCGGACGGGGACGAGGAGCGAGAGGACGGACGGGGACGGGGGATGAGAGGGCGGACGGGGACGAGGAGCGAGAGGGCGGACGGGGGCGAGGAGCGAGATGGCGGACGGGGACGGGGGACGAGGAGCGAGAGGGCGGACGGGAGACGAGGAGCGAGAGGGCGGACGGGGGACGAGGAGCGAGAGGGCGGACGGGGGACGAGGAGCGAGAGGGTGGACGGGGGACGAGGAGCGAGAGGGCGGACGGGGAGGGGGACGAGGAGCGAGAGGGCGGACGGGGAGGGGGACGAGGAGCGAGAGGGCGGACGGGGAGGGGGACGAGGAGCGAGAGGGCGGACGGGGAGGGGGTCGAGGAGCGAGAGGGCGGACGGGGAGGGGGTCGAGGAGCGAGAGGGCGGACGGGGACGAGGAGCGAGAGGGCGGACGGGGGACGGGGGACGAGGAGCGAGAGGGCGGACGGGGACGAGGAGCGAGAGGGCGGACGGGGGACGAGGAGCGAGAGGGCGGACGAGGAGCGAGAGGGCGGACGGGGACGGGGGACGAGGAGCGAGAGGGCGGACGGGGACGGGGGACGAGGAGCGAGAGGGCGGACGGGGACGGGGGACGAGGAGCGAGAGGGCGGACGGGGACGGGGGACGAGGAGCGAGAGGGCGGACGGGAGACGAGGAGCGAGAGGGCGGACGGGGGACGAGGAGCGAGAGGGCGGACGGGGGACGAGGAGCGAGAGGGTGGACGGGGGACGAGGAGCGAGAGGGCGGACGGGGAGGGGGACGAGGAGCGAGAGGGCGGACGGGGAGGGGGACGAGGAGCGAGAGGGCGGACGGGGAGGGGGACGAGGAGCGAGAGGGCGGACGGGGAGGGGGTCGAGGAGCGAGAGGGCGGACGGGGAGGGGGTCGAGGAGCGAGAGGGCGGACGGGGACGGGGGACGAGGAGCGAGAGGGCGGACGGGGGACGAGGAGCGAGAGGGCGGACGGGGACGGGGGACGAGGAGCGAGAGGGCGGACGGGGACGGGGGACGAGGAGCGAGAGGGCGGACGGGGACGAGGAGCGAGAGGGCGGACGGGGGACGAGGAGCGAGAGGGCGGACGGGGACGGGGGACGAGGAGCGAGAGGGCGGACGGGGACGGGGGACGAGGAGCGAGAGGGCGGACGGGGACGGGGGACGAGGAGCGAGAGGGCGGACGGGGACGGGGGACGAGGAGCGAGAGGGCGGACGGGGACGGGGGACGAGGAGCGAGAGGGCGGACGGGGACGGGGGACGAGGAGCGAGAGGGCGGACGGGGACGGGGGACGAGGAGCGAGAGGGCGGACGGGGACGGGGGACGAGGAGCGAGAGGGCGGACGGGGACGGGGGACGAGGAGCGAGAGGGCGGACGGGGACGAGGAGCGAGAGGGCGGACGGGGACGGGGGACGAGGAGCGAGAGGGCGGACGGGGACGAGGAGCGAGAGGGCGGACGGGGACGGGGGACGAGGAGCGAGAGGGCGGACGGGGACGGGGGACGAGGAGCGAGAGGGCGGACGGGGACGGGGGACGAGGAGCGAGAGGGCGGACGGGGACGGGGGGCGAGGAGCGAGAGGGCGGACGGGGACGGGGGACGACGAGCGAGAGGGCGGACGGGGACGGGGGACGACGAGCGAGAGGGCGGACGACGACGACGACGACGACGACGACGACGACGAGGGAGGGAGGGAGGGAGCGGGCGGGCGGACGGGGACGGGGGACGACAAGAGGGCGGTCGGGGGCAGCCGGGTAGTACAACCCACAATGTGGTAGTACAATCCACCACATTGTACTACATTTTGCTGCCACAATACACACACACATATTGTAAAGCTTGCGTCCTGCTGCCGTTCTTGTCCAAGTATAGAGGTTGGGTGAGTTTCTTTGAAGATATTGTTGCGCGCGGCGGTGGTGGCGGTGGCGCTCTGGCGCGCTTTTTGTCCCCAACCAGTCTTGCGAACAACGCAATTGAACCTTCAGTCACGAATCATTACGTAGGCAACGCTACAAAAAAATTGTTCAAAAATGTTGGTTATTTCGTGTAAGAATACAGGCTGACAAGTTTCTGGAAGTTTAGTAAGGATAGAAAGTTTGGGGGGGGGGGGGAAATGACAGACTATCAGTTGCTAGTAATTTTACCATTCCAGAGAGCAGGTACTTGTGTTGAGCCTGATGTACCGCATGTAGTGAGTCTGTCTGTCTGTCAATCTCGGCACCTAAGCGTTTATACCTTTACTGTATTTGCTCTACTGTTTGTACTCTCTTCTGTCCCACGTGGTGTTAGGTTTATGACACGTATATTATGATTATCATAAAATTAATTTATTTTTCTTCTCTTCCAGGTGTGTGCGATAAACTGTTACCAACACCCAGTAAGGTAAAGTAAGCTGCAGTGTTGCCAGCTGTGCTCCTCACACACTCTTAAATATTATTCCCATTTTCTTTTTGTTGCTTCGAAAACGAGGCCTAATTGGGGTTCGAATTAAGATTCTCGTTAACGACCGAGAAGTAATCACTGTCAGTGAGGCTTGTTTGGGGTTCCTCGGCATCTCCAGGGAATGAAAGTTGCCGCCTGAATGTGGGAAGGTTTCGAAGATTCCAAATTTGAATGCTGAGAGTTAAGTGAATTCTGTTACTTGTCTGACTGATTTGATATTCTGGCCAAGCCCTTGTTACACGTAAGACTTGATACCAACTTTCCTGAGCAATTTGCGAAGTGACGGAGGAGGACGCAGTCTAATTTGATTTTAGGTTTGACGGGCGAATCTGCGATTGGTGACCCTCTAAGACGGTCATGTTGGTGCTCCTCCCGGGGATTCTATATTATATATATATATATATATATATATATATATGTCGTACCTAGTAGCCAGAACTCACTTCTCAGCCTACTATTCAAGGCCCGATTTGCCTAATAAGCCAAGTTTTCCTGAATTAATATATTTACTATAATTTTTTTCTTATGAAATGATAAAGCCACCCTTTTCTCTATGTATGAGGTCAATTTTTTTTTATTGGAGTTAAAATTAACGTAGATATATGGCCGAACCTAACCAACCCTACCTAACCTAACCTAACCTATATTAATAGGTAAGGTTAGGTTAGGTAGCCAAAAAAAGCTAGGTTAGGTTAGGTTAGGTAGGTTAGGTAGACGAAAAAAACATTAATTCATGAAAACTTGGCTTATTAGGCAAATCGGGCCTTGAATAGTAGGCTGAGAAGTGCGTTCTGGCTATTAGGTACGACATATATATATATATAATATATATATATATATATATATATATATATATATATATATATATATATATATATATATATATATATATATGCATACATACATACATACATATATATGTGTGTGTATGTGTTGCCTGGGGTGTTGGCGTGACCCTGGGATCCTTCCAGCAATGAGGCTTTTCTTTTAAATTGGCAACTTCATTCAGACACTTGAAAGATAACAAACAGACGACTCGTACACTAAATTTCACAAGCAAGCATATTTCCTAAGCACTTTAAACATAAAAAGGTGTTCTCCACAATAGCATTAATTCTATTTAAAGTACCAAGTCATTTTCCTAACATTCAAAATATTTATTTCCATGTTATATTTTGACTCTGATCTGCCTGCTAGCAATAATTCTTCAATATTGCATAAAGTTGACAAAATTTAAATGAATAACACCAGGAGACGCTTGGGGGGGAAAAATTCCAATGCATTTTGTCTGTGTGAAGATGACGGCGCCTAAATGTCACGGCCAGAGAAGGAGGGGGGCGCCTCCGCCCTCGGCTCTCCACACGTCCTGGATGAAAGGCGAGAAAAAACGTCTTTCCGGCAGGGATGAAAGAAATCATGGCTATCAGTGCCCGTATTATCAGAATATACGCACTAGTTCCCTTTTTTCTGCATTTTCCAAAAATCGGATAACCCGCCATCCGTCCATTTCAGCGATCCGCTCATTTTCGGAGCCTCTCCATCACAGGCTGTTGTAGAGAGGCTGAAACAGTACAGATTTCGTATTGACACTAATATATTTGTAACTAAAGTTCTTAGTAGGAAGCTGTGATAGAGGCGGGTGCACGGGAGAGTAGGACACAGGTCTGGGTGCTGCTTCAGGCCTCGCCGGTATTACACACAAATCACAATAGCGTGATGCATCTTGGAAAAACTTGGGGGACTTGCCCCAAGATCCATACAGGGGTTATGGGTCTTGGGGGCAAGTTATGGAGGTGTGGTGTGTTGCGGTCGCCCTGTATTGTACATATTATTTATGCAATATATATGTAAAGCTAATTAATGTCCCCCACCATACTATATGCAGTCCCGCTCCTGTACCAGGTAAGCCCACTACGGGTTCACCATAGCCCGTGCTACTTGGAACTTGTTGTTCTAAGTTACTGAATCTAAAACAAAACAATGTCCCCCACGTTTTTAATAAAGAAATGTCGAATGTTAAGTTATGAAAACCTAGTACAGTATTTCAAACCTCCTCTCCCCTCCCCCTCTCTTTCTTGCTCTCACTCTCTGTACGAGTATGAGAGCGTGGAATGAGGAGAGTACCAGAGGTGGTGATTGGCTGGCGGGCTCCAATACCGGCAGTATGGCCGCCTCCCGTGCTGCTCCTGATCACTATTTACCAATATCTGGTGTGTGAGCCGAACGCGGAGATTAATCTCTTCCCACCAGTTCATTACCTCCGTCTGCCCAATTACGTCTCTGGAAGTTATCTCGGGTTGAGAATTATTTTTTAACGATAAAATTAATTGGATACACGTGTTGAAAGTACATCAAGGAAATTACTGGTTGTTCTGGTATTGTTTTAGCACATCTTTACATATATACAATATATGAGCATTATACATGGCAGTATCTATACACTACAAGATCTTTACAGGACACTTACGCGGCAGGATCTAATCTATACATGGGCAGGATCTACACATAATAAGGTGATTTGGTAATAGAGGTGGCGTCTTGGTACCTATTCCTCTGGTATTGTCCCTCCATAACTTACCGAAGCACATATAAGGAAAGACTTGACAAATAATGTTTTCCCGAATTCCTTCAGTAATGTATAAATGGTGGTGACATGGCTATGACTCTCTCCAGGGGATCTGGGCCAGGACTTACCTGATCACTTACGAAACCTGTACATCTTTCCTCGATCATGGCGACAGGTTGCATTAAATAGTTTAAGAGCTTCGTAACATCGCTCTCGAATCAAGTTTTATTATTATGAACAACCTCGTTGCTCATAAGCTGTTTAATAAATGAAAACTAATCGACTATGATTAATGAAAGATGTATAGGTTTCGTAGGTGGTGACTTAAGGCTGTAGAGCTGTCTATGATGGCGGTAGTGATGGAGGCTTACTCCCTCCCTGATCTAGCGGGAGCTGCCAGCCTTCACACTATCTCCGCCATATTCACATATTCCATGTCGTCCTCAGGAACGTACATTTTCGAACGTTTGCAAAGAGGAGTTAAGATGACCAGAAAACAGGCAGGAATTCTTTCCTTGCATGACTTTGGTAAAATATATAAATCTGTTGGGTGTTTTGAACTGCGGCGGCGATCAGTGATTGGATCAATTTACGCCACGTTCGCTGATTGGCCGGGCCCACGCGCCCAGGCTGAGTCTTGGGGATCTCTTTTTCATTGGTTCAATTTATATTCCGGCACGGACCGTCGCTGACAATTTTTTTTTCTGTATAGCTAGAAAATATTTATAAACTGCTGGTTCGCCTACAGACCGGGATTGAATGGGTAGTGAAGCAGTAGGATATCGGAGCTTAGATCATTGTATTTAGGTAACTGTGTTTGCAAGGGGAACACAGCCTCCTGATTCACGGCTCCCCCGCTCCCCCCTCCAAGGTGATAGACTTTCTTCAGTCTATATTCTCAGTTCACATTATTATTACTGTTGTCTTAGTTGGGCCGCTCTCTAGCGGTCATTTTCTGGACCACTACTGCAACCTGGGTCCTCATGGGGCTTCTAGCAGTCGTTTGTTGCCATTATTTGCCCAATTAGTTTTGTAGCCTGCATAAATATTAAGAATATGGTAACATGGAAAATGAAAGAAACCGCAGGAGGCCCATTGGCCCACACGACGCAGTTCCTATTTATATCTACCAAAACTCTCTTATATATGTCAAACCTACGCTTGAAACAATTCATCGTCTATCATGTTTCCGCGTAATTTGCTCCATAAATCGGCAACCCTGTTTCGAAAAAGGTATTTACCCAGGTCTTGTCTGAATCTAGATTTATTCAATTGGCGAATAATATGCAAGACTTTATTTCTCCCCGAAGGTCAATAAAGCTTCACACAGTAGATCCTACGACTGTTCTTTGCGGACCCCACTTGTTACGCTTGCGCACTTTGGTGTTTCACAAAACAATGGCTCTACCTTTTGTATCAGGTAATCCTTTATCCAAGCAGCTTTACAGGCACACCGACTTGCTTTAATGCCGTTTCAGCCTCTTGTGGAGATACTTGCCTAAGACCTTTTTTACAGTCAAAGAATATGCAGCCTGCATATAGCTCTCCCAGACAGATACAGACAGTCTGGTCTGTCAACCCGGCGTAACCTGCTCTATTAGGTTAGTAAGGCAGGATTTAATATAGACCACAGTTGGTGTTTTATAACGTTTGCACATGTCAACTGTTCCTGTAATATTGTTTATTACCTTCTCCTTTACTTTACATAGTATACTTGTGATAGATATACTGGTCTGAAGTTTGGGCCTTAATGTCTATCACTTGACAATTGGTATAATGTTTCAGATGTGTGGCAGCTCTCCTCTCTCCGGTAGCTTTTGTGTGTGTTGTAAGTGTAAGTGGCTTGCTTAAGGCATCGGTTCATTTCTTTAGTATTGAAAGAGATATGTTGTAAGGTTCCATTGTCTTTGACTTGTCCATCACTTCTTCACTCAATACCTGTCTGCTTGTCTGTCTGCTTGGGTTTTATTGTTGTTTTGATTCAGTTACTAGGAACAAAAGTTCCAAGTAGCACGGGCTACGGTGAACCCGTAGTAGACTTGTTGGGTTTTAACTTATGTTTGACTATCCTTATGTCTGCCTTATTCTGTTTGTTATTGTTTTCTTTTTTTTTATCATAGCTCTTCTCTTTCACCTCCGCCTCTCTTCCTCTCCCCTCTTCTCCTCCTCCTCCCCTCCTCCTCCCCTCCTCCTCCCCCCCTCCTCCCCCTTCTTTCACTCCTCCCTCTCCATTCCTCCGCCTCCTCAACACCCCCCTCCCCCCTGCGGTCTCCCGTGAGGCAGATGAGGGGAATGTTAATGTTATTGCCTGGAGGAGTGGGCCTGCTCTCACTTGCTCCTCCCACGCCACTATTCCCTCCTTCCACGCCACTGT